GTAAATCAAATTGAAAACCTTTATCTCGGCTACAATTGATAAAGAAAACTTACAAATCCGAGTTATCGATATCCTTTCCGAAAATATACCGAAGTCGTACATATTTCGTTGTAAGACTTCTTATTTTATTGTATGTAGGTGGATTGGTATTAAAGATTTTTCTATTCTCCTGGAAAATCCTTACCTTATCCTCACGGAGTGTCGCGGAGAACCTAACGGGTAACCGAGACTCCGGCTCGTCGTGCAGGAGAAGGAACGGGGTGGTTTTTAGTCAGTTAGAGTCTGACATTCCCTCCCGCCTCACACAGGCGGGAGCAGTCATTCGTAGATTTTCCCCCCTTAAAAATAATCCTTACGGAGTGGTTTGCGTCAAAGCTGCTGGATTATACAAGGTAAATGTTACTAATTGCCTAACTCAGGGGCATTTAATGATTGCTTAAACAATTCTTTAGTAACGATTTTGTTACGAAAAGAATTGCTAAGAACGGGGTTAGACTAAGAACCCACGAGGCGATATTTACGGAGGTGGAATTTTCAATAAAATAAAATTAAGTAAATTAAGTAAGTGTGGGAGAGCCATGCTTCGGCACGAATGGGCCGGCTCGACCGGAGTCATACCACGGCCTCACAGAATACCGACGTGAAGCAACACTTGCGTTGTGTTTCGTCGTGTGAGTGAGGTTACCGGAGGCCCAATTACCCTCCCCTTCCCTAATCTCCCTAATCCCTGAATCCTCAACGATCCTCAAACTCCTAATCTGTAATATTTATAATATAAATCTATAATATGACCAATTTCTTATAATTAATAAAGATTTATTATTATTTATTTATTTATTTAACCCTAGAACCACAACATGGGGTCATGGGTGACCCCACGCACACGTATTTTTATTTTAATTTTGCGAGTTTTGCATCTACAACACTGTGCGTCTAGGTACCTTCCGTAATTGGTAATCAGTGGCCCGTGACGCATGGCGGGGTGCGCACGCTCATTAGATTCGGAGATATTGCAGTTTGGGGTCGCCCCCGACCCGTGTTGTGGTTATCGAAACTATTTTCTTGTGATTAACTGTTGTGTGATTTCACGTTTATTTCACGAATAGTCTTTCAATATGGCCTCAACGTCACGAGCCCTTGAAAGTAATCAAATTGAGCATCTTTTGGAGGAATATGAAGGTGAAACCTCCAGTTCTTCGGACGAAGATGGATCGGAAACTGCAGAAAATGAACATATATCCGAACACTCCGATGAAGATGATTTGTTTGATGTTGAATCTGGATCAGATGATGATGATGTTCTTCTGTCTGATTTCTGTATGGGCAAAAATGGTTATACTTGGCGAAGAACTCCGTTCACTGTTCCTAATACATGCACTGCAAGTAGAAACATCGTGATAAATCAACCTGGTCCTAAAAGTATCGCACGCGACGCAAAAACCAAGTTAGAAGCGTGGAAGCTATTTTTTCCAGACGAAATATTAGATGTTATTGTGATGCATACCAATGCACAAATTGACAGAATTTCTGAGACCATAAAAAACCAACGTTACACTTCTAAAACTGATAAAGTGGAGTTAATGGCTTTATTTGGATTAATGTATCGTAGTGGTTTATACAAAACAGCTAAAACAAACTTGTCCGAGTTATGGTCGATTGTGGATGGTCCACCTATTTTCAGGGCCACAATGTCAAAGAACAGGTTCAAATTTTTGGTAAATTACCTGCGGTTTGATGATCATGAGACACGTGAAGCAAGGAAAGTCAATGATAATTTTGCAGCGCTGCGTGAGGTATGGGACAAATTTCAAGTACTATGCTCTGAGTACTACACTCCGTCGGAACATGTAACAGTAGATGAACAAATACTTGGATTCCGTGGTCGCTGTAAATTTATTGTATATATGCCACAAAAACCTGATAAATATGGCATGAAAGTTGTAATGATGTGTGATGCTAAGACTGCCTACATGATATCTGCAATTCCAAATGTAATTCAACTTGCAAATGAGTTACGCAATATTGGACTAACAATGATAGGCACGTTGCGAAAGAACAAACCCGAAATACCTCCAAAGTACTACTTTCTAAGAAACCTAAGCCTTCAATTAGTACAGCCCTACGTGAAACGCCGCATTGATGAGGTCAAAAATTTGCCCCAATCTCTTAAAGTGATAATGCTTCATGTTTTGGGAGTAGATGAAGAAAACAGTGCTCAGGTAGCCCAAGCTCGATCAACTTCAAGTTCCCGCTGCTATTTATGCACTAGACCCAAAGATAGGAAGGGCAGAGAGAAATGTGTTAAGTGCTCCAAAAATATATGTGCAGAACACAGGTTACCTATTTGTCACCAATGTATCTAGATTTTCATATTTGTACTATTTTTTTTTCCCTTAAGCATTCCATTAATATCCAAAAAACCTTGTAATAATTGTTTAAATTTATTAAAGTGTAATATTTTGTAAGTAATCATTTTTTTATTTTGGGGTCACCCGTAACCCATGTTGTGGTTCATTTAATTAAATTTGGATGTTGTAGTTGTAGGGTTAATTTAATCCCCAAAAGAACGGTAACGCACTTGTAACGCCTCCGGTGTTCCAGGTGTCCATGGGCGACGCCGATTGCTTACCATCAGGTGATTCGTCTGATAGTTTACCGGCTTATGCCATAAAAAAACAATTCCACAGCCGCCGCGGTTGCAATAATCGCCCGCAAACTTGGCGGTTGATTATCGGAAGACAGGTGGGTGGTTAAACAATCTATCGCATTCGTATCGTAATCGTATCGAGCGAGTTAAGCGTTCTGATTGGTTGGTTCACTTGAGCCGGCCAATCGGAGCGCCAGACACGCTCCGATACCTTTACGTTACGAATGCGATAGTTATTCGTGCTTGGCACTCAGTTGAGACAGGCCGTGCCATTGCGATCGCAGGGACCAACCGATCGCAGGGAGCGTGGGTGCAAAGCGCCGCAGCTATACCGCGGCGGCTATAGCCGCAAAGAATTGCAACCGCCGCGGGCGTAAAACCGTAAAACGCGCTGTGAAATATACTTTTATTTTTTACATACATATCTGTATTCTACAAAGGCTGTGGGCCCGCAACCGTGGCTGGAGCAGGAGAACATTGAGCCGTGAGTCCTTAACCTTAAGTACAAGACTCCGAGTACGGCAGTAAGAACTAAAAATGGAACATCGAGCTCCGTAGAGGCCTGTCCAAGCAATGGACTGGCTGATATGTATATGATAAATCTTATATCTAGTCAGTTACAGTGCGTGGTTTTTCAGAAGGTCACATACCTACTAGTTTGTCAAAATAACGCCTCCAATATACTTGTTAAACTGTCAAACACCAAGCGGTCACCGGTGACCGCGACCTATTGTTCTTTAATTGTGTCTATAAAACCGGTACTCGACGAGTTAATGCGTTGGTGCTTCTTTAGATTCGATTTTTGAGTATTTGGAAAAGCGCATTTTACTTGTATTAGTTCGTCTACTTACCCATCTACTAACTTCTAGATTTTACTACCACTGGATTACTGGTGTAGCCGTAGGGCCGGTAGGGCAAAATAGACTTAACATTGAGGGTCACATGGATCCGCATTCCGACGCAGTACGACAGGTAAAATCAATTATGAAAGTGTTTTCTGTCCAAAATTATGTACAAACTCATTAATCGAATACCCTAAATTTAACTGCAGCCATAAAACATACTAATGGCGACTATAAACATAGTTGTTTGTTTCTGCTATTTATTGTCTCGACATAAATTGCACCGCAGCGCTCCGTGCCTTTGTAGCATTTTTGAAACTAACAAGCAATGTAGTGCTATAATACAAAGCTATAACATGTCACAGAAATATGTATTTAAACGTGGCTTGTCTCACTTTCTAACTCATTCTTGTTTTGTGGCTAACGTTTACCTATTCTGGATTTTAACTCGCGGGTTACTCTCGTGAATATACTGCGAAAAGCTCTACTAGTTTCGAACCACAGAGAGGTTCTTCCTCATGAACAGCGTGCGCGGTCGCGACGATGTCGTTCGTTCTCTGTGGTTCGAAACTAGTACAGCTTTTCTCAGTATATTCACGTGAGTAACCCGTGATTTTTAGTTAATTTAGTATGTCTCACGATAGTTATTATAAAAACATATTCTGGATTTGATGCTCTAGGTTGCCCAAAGTAATATTATTTAATTTGACTACGGTTAGTCTTTTTTTAATAAAAATATGATTGCAAGCTAGACTTCTGAGCAATGGGTCTCGGCTTTTTCGAGTCAAACGGTATGATTTACGGCCTCAAAAAATCAATATATCTATATGTGCATCTCTTAGTAGTAGCACAAAGCATAAAGCCAGATGACTGATATTGGCGGATGGGCTCAATCCCGCTCATGACACTGCTGGTGAAATGTATTGATTTCATCTTGACCACATCTTATGTCAGATGTCCATGCTCTCAAAATATAACATAACATTCATAAGGCCTGTTATTCACGAGAGCATTTTTAACCTTATGTTAAAAAAATTTAGCATTCATAGTATGCGATGAAACTTTTGTCTTTAACTACCAGAGCCTCAGCAATCTTTGTCGCTAATAGCGTCGCATTTTAAAACTAATCTTATTCTTATTATATAAAGCGTATGTAAGAGTTTGTTTTTTTTGTTTGTTTGTTTGTTTGAACACGCTAATCTCCGTAACTACAAGTCTGATTTGAATAATTTTTTTTGTGTTGGATAGCGCATTTATCGAGGATGGCTATAGGCTATAAAACATCACGCTACGACCAATAGGAGCTTAGTAGAGCGTGTGAAACCGCGCGGAAGTAGGTAGTGAACATATAATTAATTTGTTCGATTTGAACGCTTTTTTAACATAACGCACTTAAAAAAGTCTCGTGCGAATGGGACCTCCATAATAGAGAAAAAATATTCATAAAAGAAGGGTATATAGGTACGTAATAAGTTTCAGAATAACGTCAGGAATTAAATAAAACAACATACATTATACTAATGTAGGTATTATGTAGTATTTATTTCATCACCAGATATTATACAAATCAATCTCAGCCTTTTTCTTAGTCTGTGTCTCATGTCTTAAAATCACTTTCATACTTAACTAACTGCTTAATAATTAAACTATATCTTATTAAATACGTCTAATACATATAATAAACATTAAAACAAATAATAACATTGAGATATATTAGGTCGAATCGCTGCCGTGTGATGATATTAGAGAATGTTTACATTTGTTATAAAGCCAAGGGTACACACGGCTACACATCGAGATTTACATAACCAGTATAAACTGAACGTTAAATGTGCGGAAAGAAGATGCGACGCGACACCAGGATAAGCTGGTTTTGTATAGAGGGTATAGGAGATAAATGCCCTGCGACACGTGTCGCTAGTGACGTCGGGTGAAGTGGCGCAACGTTGCCGGATTTTGGTCAACATGGCTGGCAACATTAACATCACTGGGGACATAAGTTGCGCGTCTTCACCGTATATGTTTTGTGTCCATGGGCGACGCCGATTGCTTACCCTCAGGTGATCCTATCCTATCTACCCGTTTATATCCCATAAAATAAATGTCAGGCGACATCGGCCGGCTTTGCTCGACATGTCGACGATACATGGTATGGGACATTTGTGTGCCATACCCCTAGTGTATTCTTGGCTTAAGAGTCGATAATAGGGTAGATGACTAATTTTTATTTTAATGTCCGTCTGGTAGATCATTTTAAAACACCAGCCACGTATTTTTCATTTTTTTACAGAAACGAATATTTTCGACGATATAGGGATTTGAAATGTCGCGTGACGTCACTTCTATGTACATTTTATACGTAGTTATGACATTTTAGCCCCCACTCCTAAACTTTGATTCGTTATATCTAAGTATCATTTTATTATACAACAAAATAAAAAAATACGTGTCTAATATTTTTTCATTACCTAACTGACGGACTAATTACATTTTTAATGTTCACACCCCGTCATCATCCCTATTATTAAAATGAATAACCAATCCAAACCCAAAACCTGTGAACTAAGATCAATGTTTGAAATTTATTGTGAGGTTTCTGTCAATCCAAAGATTTTTAATTCAGTTAGATTGTTAATTTCGGCTGTAAGAGATTACACATATTACGGAGACCGCGCAACATCGCTCTCTAAACAAACCTGGGTGCTTACTCTTGAAACCAATATGTCAATGCAATTTAAATCCAATAAAATCTCAATAATTATATTATTTAATGTCAACACTATACAACCCCTATCGTAGCTGTTAAACTAGCATTCAGAGTACGGAATATAAAGCCAAACTCAATACCATTTAGTTCATTCAATATCCACGCAATACGGATGCAATGGGCGCTGATGTTACAACTTAAGAGTACGAAATTTCACAATAAAAATGTCGATCGATCGGAATCAGATTCAAGAGTAAGCCATCTGAACCTTTTCAACTTTCCGAACGTAGAAAAAATAGCACTCTCATATTATGAAAACAGGTACATTATCCCATAGTGAACTATGACTGGCTGCTGATGTTGATTTTATTTATTTTATTTTATGGAATAGGAGGCAAATGAGCAAACGGATCACCTGATGGTAAGCGATTAGAGCCGCCCATGGACACCCGCAACACCACAGAAGTCTCAGGTGCTTTGCCGGCCTTTTAAAAAGGAATACGCTCTTTTCTTGAAGGTTTGAAGGTCGTATCGGTTCAGAAATACCAAACTATGATATGTGGGTAGGTCCATTACCGCTGTACTATACCCTACTAGACCCTAGGTATTTATGGTGATTACATTCATATGGTGATATGTGTGCGTTCACATCACAATCACTTCACACCTCCCAAAGCATACAGCGATGCAATCCAGCTCCAGCGGTGAGTGATTTCTGACTATGGGTCAAACTATAATTACATATTTCACAGCCACACAATTTATGGTAATATTGAAGACAACCAAGGCAATTCACCGGTATTCTTAAAGTTTTGCCAATCGTACAGAAATCTTCCTACAACTAACAATATTAGAGCTAATAAAACTAAATTGACTATATTGATGGGACTTATTGGCATCACATCGTCGTCTCCGCAGATGTTCCCCAGTGGTATCGTACTGATCTGAAACAAAAAAAAATACTAATTTATTTTGGAAAAAAAAATATAATCGCCTTATACAAATTTTCATCAAAAAATGTACACAGAGAAGATTAAAATTCTTCGACGAGTAACATCATGGGTCGAAATGCGATCATATTTTTAAACTTTTGTTTATTTTTTCTCTTTTATTGGAAACCCGATAAATCCCGTCGATGGCTGCAAAACAAAAAGGATAATTGTTTAACAAACGGAGGAAGGAAACTGAACTGTTTTGACTCCGACAATGAGATTTAAAAATAGATTGTTAAACTTATTTTTTGTTATTTACGAGTTTCCTTGAACATTATCGATCTAATCAGTGGGATTATTAATTTTATAGGATCAAGGGATTATTATACGTAACAGAATAAAACCGGGAGAAAAGATGGGACTAAAAATAAATGGAAAATGTACAAGTGTGACTTTCTCGCACGTTCTAGTGTTTTGTAGTCGTTAAATTGTAGACTATACCTCTCGGTCTTTAGGGACTTCAGTTAATGAGAAATAGAAACTAGCGTACGTTTTACAGTCGAAAGTTAATTGGAATGGACTTATTTATAACTAAATTACTGCCACATTGCTCGAGTGGTTGAAATTACTGATTAATTAAAATGATTTACAAGCCTTACGCTTTGTGATTATGTGTGTGAAAAATACTTAATGTACAAGAAATGAAAGTAAAGTCTATATTTGTGTTGACATTAATTAATCAAATACCTGTAAAACTTTTCTGATTACTAAATATTTGTTAATGGAATTTAGCATTTATTATTGTAGTTATCAGTAGGTTATTCTTCGTAAATTTATTTGAAATCTAAGCTTAGGTCTTGGACTTTAATAAACTTAAAAACACAACCTGCACAGCGTGTGTCATAAATATAAGATAGTACTTTTTATATGCAGAAGTATTGATGTTACAAATCAATCGCACCTGCAGCGCGACGGTAATATGTTACATAATATGTGTAACGGAGTTGTAATTATTTTGCTTTTTATGTTTAGTAGGCACTCACAGAACACCGGGAACACCAGAGGCGTTACATTTGTAAATTCCTAATCCTGGATTAGGAATTTGAGGATTGTTGGGGATTCAAGGTTTGGGGAGATTGGGGAGTTTGGGTAGTAATTGGCTTCCGGTAACCTCATTCACACGACGAAACACAACGCAAGCGTCGGTCGGTTATCTGTGAGTTCGTGGTACTCACAGAACATTTAACTTTATATGATCTGTGGTGGTACCACTCCGGCCGAGCCGGCCTGTTCGGGCCGAGGCATGGCTCTCCCACAATTAAAAGACGTCGCAATCGCATCTTTGCTTGACCTCAACAGATTGATTTCCACTTTTAAATCACTTATATTTTGTAGCAATTCCAGTTATCTACAGTGTTCTATCTAGTTTAGAGCAATGATTTTAGCTAATGATTGTATTTCCGCGATAAAGCATTTAGGGGACGGGTCCTTTTTTTTCTACAAGCTACACCCGTGAGTGTAGCCGTGTGGCTGTGTTATATACAACTGGTTAAGTTAGGGATGTCGTTTAAATGCTTTGAGATGTTTTTTTTTAAATACGTGAGTACACTAACAACTGGGAAAATGTTTAGTTTTTATAATGTACATTAATTCCTTCAGCGGAATTATACATATTTTCCCCAAAGTAACACCTCACTCTATTCTTTATAATATCTTACTACTTTAAGCTTTTCACTAGGCTAAGTTAAAGTCTATCAGGGATACTTTAATGCTGTAATAATATGAAATTTACTTATGATACAGCTTGTATAAATATCAAAGCAAAACATTATGATATAAGTATGTACCTACTCATATATTCCCCTAATTACATTGTACCTTCATTTAATATTAATTAATTACACTTTGGTCAAACATCAAAGAATTAAACTGAGGAAGCCCCCAAAGGAATTTGTTCCCATTTTATGAAAATTACGTCAAACAAGTTCAGTTTTATCAATTTTGACTGTCATTTGATATGAAACCTTTGCTGATAAAATATCAGTTAAGAATCTGAAATGTCAAGGTTCTTTATGAATTGGGTACTTTCCTTATCAAAAATAAATTATTTCGACCGTTCAATACAATGAAATATTAAAAAATAATCACACTTTCATTAATTTATTTCATTATATTAAGTTACTTTTAGTACTGTGCCAGTAAATTTTTGAGAAAAACGTATGCTGTTAAACGCTAAAAAACGTGACGTCATACATAATACACAATCTGGTACAAAATTCATAGAATACCTTGCGGGCGGTTGCGGGTTCGATTCCCGCACAGAGCAACTCTTTGTGTAATTCACAGGTTGTTGTTCCGGGACTGGATGTCATGTGTATGTATTTGTAAACGCACTCACGACATAGGAGAAAATCCTACTGAGGGGCAACGTTTTTTTTTTTTAAATCTGTAGTGTCCTCTTCCTTCAGTGAATTTAATGCAGGAAGGCATGTATAGTTGATATTCTGAAGTAAGTTTATTATTGGCTGCCTCGTTGGCCGAGTGGTCGCAAGTGTGACTGCCGGGCAAGGGGTCTCGGGTTCGATTCCGGGGCGGGCAAATTATTACTGGGTTTTTAAAGATTCTAAGTGGTAGCACGGACTCTGGAATTGTGCCTAGTATATGGCAATAGGCTCACCCCCTATTACATGGGACTCATAACATAAATAGTGAAAAGTGGATGTTACATTGTACAGTAGCATTAAGTGCCATGATGTGCACCTCTGCCTTCGGGGATAAAAGGCATGATGTTATGATTTATTATTGTTTTTTCTGAGTACACAAAGGAGGTTATATTTAACCGTATAATAATGTATGGTACTTAATACATAATTTTTTATCTCTATAAAGTCCTATTATAAGCAGTCTTTATAGTAATTTTTTCTTCTCTTTTCTTTATTTTATTCTCATTTTCACTGTAATAAAACGACGTTCAATTTAAGTAAACATTCTTTTTTCAATCCTCCGATGTTTCCGATTCCTATTAAATAAATATTTCCTACAACCTTTATCGGCTAATGGTGATGATGACGATGATAATGATGAAATACACCACCAATCAAGTAAAAACACGTGAAAAACAAAATTACACAACAATATAAGTAAGTTTAAAATACAATTTGTATATAGGTAAATTGTAACAGCTAATGAGAAAACATCTAAGACATAATTAGCACGGTTCGTTTTAAATGATAAAAGACCATGTGATAGAAATACGTATTTTAATGAGGTGATTATTTTAATTGTTAAACATATACCTGCCAGTTAACAAAGGTCTTGCATTGTTTGATATTTCGATATATTAAACGGTCCGTTTATACTGGTTCTGTATGGTTTGATGTTCGTACATTATTGTATTATACATATAGGGTAATGCCACCTGAAGGGGAACTACTCTTAATACATTAGATACTTAAATTTTACTCAAAGAAAACATTCCTTTACTTTTGAAAACAAACAAAACTGCAATCAAAGATTTTTTTAAATTAGTTTGCCTAACATGGTAATCTTGTACTTTTATTGCATCGATCGTTAGGGTTAATAATAAGGATGAAATCTCTAATAAACTTCTGCCCAATCCATGAATCCCCAACGATCCTCAAACTCCTAATCTCCAAAAGGCCGGTAACGCACTTGTAACACCTCTGGAGTTTCGTGTGTCCATGGGCGACGCCGACCTTACCATCAGGTGATCCGCCTGCTCGTTTACCGGCTTATGCAATAAAAAAAAAACTTCATAAGTTAAATGAAAGGAAAACAAAGAAATTCCACCCTGTATAGATACGTACATATATAAAGTAATGCATTCTTCAGCAAATATCTGCAGTATGCGAAGCGTTCAGTGCCGCAGACGAGACATGACAAAGACTTGCCTCTCTAGAGCAGACATTTTAATTTGCTTACATTTCAATATTATATTTTTATACTTCCTACTTTGACATAATGTAAGGCGATTTAAAATTGGTTATTATATTTGTATATACGACGTGGTTGGCTAAAAAGATTTTTAATTTTACACAATAATTCAAAGAGAACATATAAAATCCTTTATTTTAATGTAAGTTGTACTTAAAAAATGTTAATATAATAATTAACATAGATATAAATAACAAAATTGCATATAACAAGAGAATTATAGTAAAATGTTGCATTTTGCGCAAACTCGATATAAAACGAAAAACAAATTCAGCACATACTTCTCCGTGTCCTGAATTTGCTAAAAAAAATCAGTAGTCAGTACATTTTAAATATTAACTAGGCCAAAGTACAATGTACAGTTGATGAATACATTGTGAATACCTAAGCTAAACACAAAATTGCACTGTTTTAATAACAATTTAAAACTCGAGTCATTATTTTCCAAAACACATTAAGATCGTCGTACACCTAACAAGCACGGCTCCGGCACGGCTCCAATGTCATTGTCATTTTAATATGAACGTTAAATCGTATGTCGTATGACATATTTCATAACGTCAATATAAAAAAGAGGGTACAGGTTCAAAATCTACCAACGGCAAGTACCAATGTGACTTTTTCCGAGTTATATGTACTTTCTAAGATTATCTAGACACCACTGACAAACGGTGAAGAAAAACATCGTGAGGAAACCTGGGCTTATAATTTCTAATTATAAGTTCGTAATCGCCAACCCGCATAGAGCAAGCGTGGTGATTAATGCTCAAACCTTCTCCGTGTGAGAAGAGGCTTTGCTCAGCAGTGGGCATTTATAGGCTGTTGATGATGATAAATATAAAAAAGACGTAAGCGTACCGCCCGCGCGCCGAAAACGCGCTTACAACGTTTTTGTATTGTTTCTAAAGCAAAAAACGCCGTGCCGGAGCCGTGCCGGACCCGTTTGTTGGGTGTGAGATGATTTTTATACATAATTATTATATGCTTGCAAAACAAGAATAAAGTAGTGTAAGCACATGACAGAAAAACAATTTTAATATTGCTGAGAGCGCCCGAATGCGTTCTGCGATGTCAAATGTTTGTTTAATATCTGTGTCATACATACCAGGAACCGGGTAGTTTTCTCGGTCAAAAATAAATATTTAGACTGTTTACTTTTAATAGGTGTAAGTGTACATGTCAGGTAATGCCAAGACGTAATCATAATAGCTTGCATTGAACCGTCAAAACGAGATCAGAATCATGACACTAAGCGAAATGGAAATATTTTTGTTTAGTCAGCACAACTTATAAAATCTATAATGCGTCTTTGTATTATATGATTGCACTGCCACTTAACAATACAATGAGTGTGCGACAAAAATATTTATATTACTGTTTATTTTGGGTCATTGTTCACGATTTGGGCCCTTCATAAAATTGCTGTCTCGTTGACCGAGTGGTCGTAAGTGGGACTGCCGGGCAAGGGATCTCGGGTTCGATTCCCGGGTCGGGCAAAATATTACTGGGTTTTTAAATATTCTCAGTAGTAGCACGGAGTCTGGAATTGTGTCCGGTATATGGCAATAGGCTCACCCCCTATTACATGGGGCTCATAACATAAATAGTGAAAAGTGGGTGTTACATTGTACAGTGATATAATGTGCACCTCTGCCTACCCCTTCTGGGGTAAAAGGCGCGATGTTATGTTATGTTATGTTATGTTATGTCACAAAATTTTATAAAAAATACTTGTCTTGTAAAGACCCGGTATCGCATAGGTACGCGTTCCGCAACACAATAAAATCTAAAAAAGGAATTACACAAACAAATAAAATTAAGAAATCTTCTTTTAAACATAATCTCCATGGTGCCTAAATTAGCAAGAACGGTGTTATTTACCCACAAATTTCCGCTGTTTACTATCGTAAAGCGAATTAATATCGTCAAGCGCCCACACAAGGTACAAATTAGATACGTGCTTCTCTTGAAGTGAGAGAACATACAACATTTTATTAAGATGGAATGCCTGTTCTCCGCGAATGTATTTCACAACGACCATATTGCACATGTGCGCGTTGATATGACGTTTATAAAAAGAGCAGTTTCCATTATTTTCTCTTACACATATAAAGTGTGGGAGTTCCATGCTTCGGCACGAATGGGCCGGCTCGACCGGAGTGATACCACGGCCTCACAGAAAACCGACGTGAAGCAACGCTTGCGTTGTGTTTCATCGTGTGAGTGAGGTTACCGGAGGCCCAACTACCCTCTCCTTCCCCAATTTCCCCAATTCATAAATCCCCCACAATCCTCAAATTCCTAATTCTCAAAAGGCCGGTAACGCACTTATAACGCCTCTGGTTTTTCGGGTGTCCAGGGGCGACGCCGATTGCTTACCATCAGGTGATTCGTCTGCCCGTTTACCGGTTTATCCCATTAAAAAAAAGTCGGGGGAGATTGAATTCATTGTTTGAGTTGCTCCCTCAAAAAAAAATGCTCTTCCTATCTTCCATTACCAATAATTCCAAAAATATTCAACTTGTAATATTTGTCATATTATTTTATCAGTCAAACAAAGCTTTAGTGGTTTTGGGGTTTCGACAGGGCCTTGACAGTTCCCCTTTTGGAACAAATTCATTAATGGTACAGATTACGCATAAAATTATCAGTAGATTAAATTAATCGTGCCTTATCTGAAGCTTTGTAACCAAGTCATTAGAGAAATTGATAAAAGCGAAACAGTAGCGGGACTTCAATGGTCGAGTGATCGGTAAATACACCGAACAATGGTAAAATAATATTACAGAATGTTGAATTGTCATTAATATTACAGAATAACTTAAACCCGTCGAGCGTCCACGTTCCTTATGATCCAACGGGTGCACACGTGACATTTGGAGCATTTTTTCTTATGATCCACCGGGTGCTCATAAGGACGCTCGAGAATTGTATGTAGATACATTTACAATGTAGTGCACTAGGTGTACCAGGTACTTAACACGTTAACCGCCATGGGGGTCACCAACGATTGAAGTTATCCGAGGATTTGCTTCAACTGCTTTCTACTGACTGTCAACTCACTAACTTAAAACGTGCACCTGTAAGTACTTACACTTTAAAAAAATAAAATTTAGACTAGATTAGACTAACAACTAGAATTTTACCTGGCAAAAAAATAACCTAGGTGTTATTACAGACTATAATTTATGTCTCTTTGTTGCAAGTTCACGTTAATCCCTTCAGTAATGTTTGCGTCAAAAAATACAGGATGTCCAGTAAATAGAACGTCATACTGCGTGAGGTGATAGCTTGGAACAATACCTACCTATACAATAGAAGATAAGTTCAGTAAAATCGTACGGTTTAAGGTCATCAGACATTTAACAAGCACGACTCCTGCACGGTCCCAGCACGGTATTTTTTGCTATGGAAATAATACAAAAGGATTGTAAGAGTGCCGTCGGCGCGCGGGCGACGCGCTTACAGCTTTTTTATATTGACATTATGAGATATGTCATACGACATACAATTTAAAGTTCATATTTATATGACATTGTTCGGTTGTAGCTGTGCCGGAGCCGTGCTTGTTAAGTGTGCGATAATATTTAAAATTAAACCAAATCTAACCAAATAAATTATATAAAACAGAAAATTTATACACCATACATCAAAACTCGTCGTGGTGGCGCGGAGGTTTAAAACGCCCACTTCTCATGCATGAAGGTGCGGGTTCGAAACCAACGGCAAGTACCAATGTGACTTTTTTCCGAGTTATATGTACTTTCTAAGATTATCTAGACACCACTGACAAACGGTGAAGGAAAACATCGTGAGGAAACCTAGGCTTACAATTTCTAACTATAAGTTAGTAATCGCGAACCCGCATTGAGCAAGCGTGGTGATTAATGCTCTAACCTTCTCCGTGTGAGAAGAGGCTTTGCTCAGCAGTGGGCACTTATACGCTGTTGATAATGATGATGATGATGACATCAAAACTACACTTATGTACTATTTATTACTAAGTAGAAAATAATTAATTACCTGCACAAGTGATGTCTTCTTGTCACTAGATTTCGAGCACCTTATGTCAGGTAGATCCCGGATCACTCGCTTATACTTCAGAAGTAAGCTCTGGAAGCGAGGTATGTAGTGGCAGTCACATCTCCATGGATTGTCCCCGAGAAACACGTGCATTATATTATTGTTATATTGAAACGCTTTGTCGAAAGCGTAAACAGGAATCTGTTGAAGAAAACAGTATTAGAACGTATTCTGGAATATTCCACCATACCTATTACAAACTTGTACGTTTTCCACACCTAAGCAAAATTGAATTAACTAATTTGCGAATATATTCTTTAAAGTATAAGGTAATTAGAGTTCATTATTTGATTTGTTTTCGATAATCGAGAGGTTGTTAGTGACTGTTAAGTTAGAGGTCTTGAATTTGTCTTGAACTTGAAGTTCCCCGCGGCTATTTATTAAGAACTAGCTTCTGCCCGCGACTTCGTACGCGTAATCCCATTTTTTCCCGTCCCCGTTCGTGACTTTCGGTAAAAAGTAAAAATAAAAATTTTGGGCAAAAAGTATCCTATGTCGGTTTCCTGGCTCTAAGCTACCTCCCTACCAATTTTCAGCCAAATCTATTCTGCCGTTCTTGAGTTATAAATGGTGTAACTAACACGACTTTCTTTTATAAGTATATATAGATTCTCAGTAGATAGAATAGGAATACCTACTATGTATAAGAATACTATATATTTATGTTGTATTTATATTGTAGTGTAAATTTTAAATATTTTAGTACCTTTCTATATTTATAAAGTCTATTTATGTTATTTGTTTCTTATAATTACATATGCCTATTTTTTCGCCGATTTCCATTTTAACCCTAAGGTTGACTGGGAGAGAATGCCAAATGGCATTAATGTCCGCCTTATGTACCATTGTTTCTGTGTACATTAAAGTTTAAATAAATAAATAAATAAAAAACTTATATACTTCTACTTCTAACAAGGAGTTTGCAAGTGATGTCTAGTTTACATGATACTGAATAAGATTACTGTCGGAAAGTTAGCGTAACATATTATCTTAGGATCCTACCATCTGTAACCAACTGTGTCCACCAGTGATCAATCAATTAACATTTAACATAATATCACGCCTTTTTATCCCCGAAGGGGTAGGCAGAGTTGCATTAATGCCACTGTACAATGTAACATCCATTTTTCACTATTTATGTCATTAGTCCCATGTAATAGGGGGTGAGCCTATTGTCATCTACCGGGCACAATTCCATGACTCCGTGCTACTGCTGAGGATTTTTAAAAACCCTAGTAATACTTTGCCCGAGGAATCGAACCTGAGACTCTTTGCCCTGCAGTCGCACTAGCGACCACTCGGCCAACGAGGCAGTCAGTTAGTTTATAACTCCCATGTAAATGAAGGCGAATCCTGAAAAATCCCTTAGAAATAAAATCTAGCAAGTTTCGATCGATTTACTAGAATGTCTGAACTTCATACAAGTTTACAAAATGGTACAAAATATAACTTATATATGTATGTACTATTCAAAAACCGAAAAATTCACGAAATAAAAAGTTATGAAGACGTTTCAATTACCCACAAGTTCTGTTAAAATTGGGACGGTATGAAGTTTGACAGGCTACATTTCATGTCAAACTTCAATTTGTGTTCCCATTCCCACGTACCTAAACTTAAGTCATGTTTACTACCCTACTTATTTATTATTGGTCTAATAGGCATGTTGTCAGCGTCTCCTTTTAGCATAGGCATGTTGTCAGCGTCTCCTTTCTAATTCTTTTGTTTAAATTTTTCAACTCTTATGTTTTTATTACTTCCACTGTCACATCTTGATTGTCTTTTTTTATTTTTATTTATGCTGCATCGTGCCTGGTGCTAAATAAATGTTTTTTCTTTCTTTCTTTCTAATAATTTGAAACATTATTTTCTCTCCAAATATCTAATCCGAAACCTTTTTTTGAAATTGGGAAATCATCTAATGGCTTCTCCCATTTCGAGGAAGGCGGGAGGGAGTGTCAGACTCTTACTGACTAAAAATCATCGCGTTCCTATTCCTGCTTCGCACTCGTCCGTAACGTCCGTAACTCGGGAGTTGTGACCCAGGGGTCACAAGAGTAAAACATTCTCAGTAGTAGCACGGAGTCTGGAAATGCGCCCGGTATATGGCAATACGCTCACCCCCTAATATATGGGACTCATAACATAGATAGTGAAAGTTAGGTGTTACATTGTGCAATGGCATTAAGTGCCGTAATGGCACCTCTGCCTACCCCTTCAGGAATATAAGGCGTGAAGTTGTGTTATGTTATAAAATACATCAAAATAATAATAGTGACAAGATATCTTTGCGTACTCTCCCGTGATTTCTATACTATTTGAGAAGGAAATGTCACGAATCTGCCTTTTATATATATAGGCTCGACCGTTCGCTTCTGAGCAATATGAAGACGTGGCATCTTATACATTTCCTAGAATTCGATGAGTTTGTTTATACACTCACAGGCACATTTAACCGCCCACTTAAGAAATACGTCACCACGTTAGTTTGCGATAAGGAATGTTTATCCCGATGGATGTTTTGTTTCAAGTGGGTACTTTGGCAACAAATTAAACACTCTGACCCTTGTTTTTTTTAGAAGTTCGTGTATACAGATGCAATTTTGTAATTTAGTCGAAATTTGACATTCCTTGCGATCGGATTAGTGTGAGATTTAACCTGGTTTTCCTGCTCTTTTTGGTGTAATTACTGTTCTGTTAAGTTATTGCATTAATTTGATTACTGTAATCACACACAACGTGCACACACAATGTGCTGAAAAATCGCTTCACCACTGCTCCCGAGGTGATAACTAGCGTGTTTGAAGTGCGAAATGTCAGCGTAAAGGAACGGACGGTGAGAAGAAGGTTGGCAGAGAGGAACCTGACTGCATTACGTCCTGCGCGCGCCCCAGAATTGCTCCCACAGCACCGTAGAGCGCGACTTCAATTTGCGCGAGAATACGCTGACTGGACTACGGACCGATGGAAGGACGTTCTGTTTTCAGATGAAAGCAGAATAGCCCTACGAGGTCCAGATGGGTGTCAGCGAGTGTACAAACGACCAAATGAAAGGTTTGCTCCGTGTACAATAGTGGAAACTGTGGGTTATCAGAGAGGTTCAGTAATGGTTTGGGGGGGCATCAGTTATGACGCTCGTACCGACCTCGTAGTGTGTGATAGAGGCAGTGTTACTGCACACAATTAACTGGAGAAGGTTTTGCAAGACCACGCCGTGACATTTGCACCATTTATTGGTGACAATTTTCAATTCATGCACGACAATGCCCGATGCCACGTCGCTAGAATAGTGACCCAGTACCTGGACGAGGTCGGTATACGAACATTACCGTGGCCAGCACGCAGTCCTGACCTCAATCCAATTGAACACATCTGGGACAACCTTAAAAGACGGGTTCGAGCAAGGATTCTTGCACCAATGACTATTGGAGAACTCAAGATTGCTGCAGTAGAAGAGCGGCACAACATCCCTCAGTCTGACATCCAAGATGTCATTGATGGACTTCCAAACCGACTGCAAGAAGTCATCAGAGCCCGAGGAGATAATACCCATTACTAAAAGTCTCTAGACGACCACAGAAAATTAAAAATTAACAATATTGTAAATCTATACTTTTCAACAAAAATCACTAAAAATGATTTTTTTTATTTAAATGGTGAATAAATGCAGTTTTTTGCATTATTACACAGTGTTTAAATGATAAGATGTGCCTAGTTTAAAAATAAAATATCAGACTTTCCCAGTTATAGGCAGCATACGAGAAAATCCAGAAAATCAAGGTGGGCGGTTAAATGTGCCTGTGAGTGTATAATAGAAACCTGATGACTGACACGTTTTGTTGTCACAGGATGTAGTGTTTGACCTTGGAGGCCAAAGAGATGTACTTTAGATTACAGTTTTTGGTATGTAATCCTTTTTAATTGTACCAATGACCTCATGAAATAGTGAATATATTTCTATATACAAAAGATATCATGTTAATATAATGTTATAGGGATGATGACAGGGTATGAAAATTAAAAATGTAATTAGCCCGTCAGTTAGGTAATGAAAAAATATTAAACACGTATTTTTTTTATTTTGTTATGTAGTAAAATGATACTTAGATATAACGGATCAAAGTTTAGGAGTGGGGCTAAAACGTCATTACTACGTTTAAAATGTTCATAGAAGTGACGTCACGCGACATTTCAAATCAATATATCTTCAAAACTATTCGTGTCCGTAAAAAAATTAAAAATACGTGTCTAACGTTTTTAAATAATCTACCAGACGGACCTTTAAATAAAAAATACACATCTACCCTATTCAATTAAATTCGAATGATAATCTAGGAACATTAATTGTTGTCATTTTAATTATGACCTCTAATTAGAACATCACATATTAAACTGTCAAACACCAAGCGGTCACCGGTGACCGCGACCTATTGTTCTTTAATTGTGTCTATAAAACCGGTACTCGACGAGTTAAATTACGAAATTCAACTTAGGCCGGCCTAAACAAGCAAGGCAAAATAATGTTTATATTTTTTAAAAGAAAAAAATTTTTTTCTCGTCTTACCTGTTTCAATAAGTTCCCTCGAAGACTTAGCACTCGAAAATTGGAGAACCACTCAGTACCTTCTAACTCCTTGACAGCTGATATGCTGTTGTTATCAAGGTACAGGTCAGCTAAGGTCTTGTACTGAGGGTTATGAACGATGGCTCGTATTGAGCTCAACTGAAAAGAATAATGACTTTAATGGATATTTCTAGAAAGTTGTTCAGACGTACACAATGGATAGCGTTGTTGCGTTTAGTTGTTATGTGAATGGGACTTGTACAGAGAAATGAATAGGTTATAAGAAGTTGTGAATATATATATATATATATATATATACTGAAGTTTATGAGCAAGTCTATGAATATCATCATTTCACCAAGCCTACCAGCTAGTTGAAATGATGATATTCATAAAGTGGCTGAATACAGAATGAGCTAAATATACAGCTAAGTGACGTAGTCTTATCTTATATCTTACACTATTATATAAAGCGGAAGACTTTGTTTTCTTGTTTGTCTGTCTGAACGCGCTAATCTCCGTAACTACAAGTCTGATTTGAATAATTATTTTTGTGTTGGATAGCGCATTTATTGAGGATGGCTATAGGCTATAAAACATCTCGCTAACACCAATAGGAGCTGAGCAGAGCGTGTGAAACCGCGTGAAAGTAGCTAGTGGATATGTATAGTAGTATAGTAGTACTGTAGACGGTATGAAGGTAATGATGATTGCATGTACTAAGTAACATGTTTTTCATGCTAGAAGAATATATATATTTGTCTACTAACTCTGAAAGATCTTTCTTGTGGAACGCATTATTCTTTTCAATTCTATTATTATCTGCCTGGCTCGTTGACCGAGTGGTCAAGCCAAGTGCGACTGCCGGGCAAGGAGTCTCGGGTTCGGGTTTTAAAAAAATCTCAGTAGTAGCACGGAGTCTGGAATTGTGCCCGGTAAACGGCAAAAGGCTCACCCCTTATTACATGGGACTCATAACATAAGTAGTGAAAAGTGGGTGTTACTTTTGTGTACACCTGTGCCTACAGGTGATGTTATGTTAATAAAAGGCGTGATGTTATGTTATGTAATGTTATGTTCTATTATTACCGTTGGGAGGCTAGGGGTTAGGCTAGTTACGAACTTTGTTTTTATTCCCATAATTAAATCCCTCAAGTATTATAAAAGCTATCAAATCCACTTCCGTTGTATAAGAAGAATAAATAAGAGATCTATTATATTTCTACAGGCCAAGGCTTTTGGGATAATATTTCACTGACGCCACTATTATTTTACTACCGTAACCCATAATAAAGATGTTACTGTTCTGAGTACCTCTAGACGCAATTTAAAACTATTGTATATTATAGTGAACAGTTCTAGGAACAAATATGTTTATATTTTAAAGTTCAATGAATTGTTTATGAATAGGCATGAACTTAAGTACCTCTGTCCCATATCTTGTAAATCATTTCCTTTTTCGATAACTTGAGTGTTGAGTAGATATACAGGATGTGTGACAGTTGAAGTGTTAAATTTATGTCAATTGACAAACAAACAGTCACAAGTTGCAATATGTTGCGGACTGAGAATATCTTGTAAGACTTGACGGCCATCGCCGGAATAAAGATACTCACGTAGACAAGCGAGGCAGTCAACTGATTTATTCTTGTAGGCTCCGCGTCGAATAATTTGTCCCAATCATGAGTTAAATCCCCACTGTTTATTCGTAGAATAGTATATGACATGCCAATGGGATCGTCTTGTTCCTTTATGGAAAGCGAAGAGTTTATAAGGTCCTGTATAAAGTTTTGTATTCTTCCCATGCCTCCATCGTCCTTTGGTAATATCTCGTAGCTTCCTCCACCGTTGGAATATCTTCTTGTTCTACCGTTACTCCATCTGATTCTGCATCCGCTTTCGTCTTCAGATTCGATATTCCCATCTGGGCCAGGACACAGTCTTGATACATGTTCTTTCTCACTTGCTCCCAGTCTAGTGTCGGCGTCGTGTCCTTGTCCTGCTCCTCCTCCCCCTCCGTCGGTGGTTCTTCCTGGTCCTCTTCCTGTTGTGGTAAATCTCGCTGACTGTTCACCATCATCATCTGACTCAGGTTCCTTTTCACTGCCTTCTTGAGGAGTTCGTCTCTTGCAGACGTTGGTGCACCACGCTTCATTATGCTGATGTACCAGAGGATACGGCTGGAGGAATACCAATTCCGATGATATGTCCGTGCACGTTATTATGTGGTACACGTACAAGGGTTTGGCCATTACTGATTTTGTAGATCAATTTGTTCTCTATTTAGAGGTATATGCGCGATATGTCCGTGTGTGATCACTGCTACATTCCTTTCTCACACTAACAAATCAACCACGAAAAACTTCGAAATTATTCAAAAATGAAATTTTTGGATAATCAAATCATATTCAATAACCTCTCACTTAGAAGCAACGAATAAAAAGCCTAAACTTAAGTTTCTTATCGAAAAATACTCACATTTAAATTCAATAAACCTCCTTTTCGAGAAATTCCCTTAACACAGACTCTGCTATCCGCCAAAACGAATTACCATAGATATTCAGTAGAATTTGACTTTCATATTTAGTTAGGATAGGTCCGGGTTAAACCAAAACTTTGATTTAGTTTAAGACAAACATTAATATATTTAAGTAAAGTTATACTTAACTTTGTTCTTATCAGCTTTATTACGCAAGGGATATAACTCAGTATACCTACCTAAGCGCTAGCTAGTTTAATCGATTGCATGAATGCGTTGTGCAAAAGGTCCACTAGAAGCTTTAACACATTTATAAATTGTGAGTCTCGATCCCGTGCAATAATATCGCTTTTATCTACTCCATGCACAGCACGCGCACCAAGCGCTGATGGGACGAGATATATGAACTTCTAGGAAGCGTTTATGAATGACGCGTAGCTATCGGCGCGCACGGTGGTCAGCGCTGACCACCTACTTCATACATCTCGGGTAACTGGATCTCTCAATCTGGACACCTAAAGAAATAGCCATAACGCGTATCCAAGAACATACTGCCTATGCGTTTATAATTTGCATTTTAAATAATTATAAAGGATTTGTGAAAGCTGCTGAACAAAATTTCGATTCGTTTCAAAGCCAGACAACCAGAAACAGAAACCAGATACAAATTACTTGTATAAAAACGTTTAAAGTGCATCATAATTTGAATTGTACCGGTAATGATTCCGACCGGCGCGGCGATATGGTCACCGTTTTCCTTAAGGATTGTAAAAAATGATTAATCTTTTTAAGTATAACACTTGTGCGCTGTGCGGTCAGCGCGACACTAAAACCAGCCTAATAAAATCTGATAAATAGTAACAAGATTTGACAAATAAACAAAATTGATTGTTAACTTACAATAGAATTTCCCTTCTCTTTATTCCTTGTTTGCTGACGTAAACCTCACACATCCAAATACCGTAACCCAGCTATTCCCAAATAGAGATTTCATAAAAAGATACCTTTGGCTAATATTTGCCTTTGAATTTCGTGAGTAAGCGTTACGTGGAAAACTCGCTCCTGTGTATCTGGTTGTTTACTTAGTTTAAGCTGGCCACTGTCTTAAGGCCAAGGATACACTGGAGGACAAAATATGTCCTGCGACTTGGGTCGCCAGTAACGATCGGTGAAGTAGCGCGACGTTGGCGGATTTTGGTCGAGATGTTTGGCAACATCAACGTCGCTGTGGACATAAGGCGCGCGTTGTCGCCTTATATTATGTCAAGTGAAATCGGCAGACTTCACTTTACATGTCGCCGATACATGTCGTGGAATAATTGTCCCCTAGTGTGTACTTGGTTTTATTGTTTTTTATTTATTAGATTATCGTTCGATCAATCCATATAGGTAAATATGAAAATCCTAATAATGAATTTGTTACAAACTACGGTTAAAAGTTCTAAATTACGACTTTATTAAACTGAGTAGCTCAGGACTATACTGATGTCTATAATGAAATTATGTATCAAGCCTAGAGCAGAACAAAAGCAACCTACTTTTAAACGATATAGGTACCTAATAAAGTTTGAGAAACACTGTCCTAGCCCAAAACAACCATCTGTATCGTGTCGTATCGTAGGTCACTCAAATATTTGTTCAGTTACCAGGTAAACTAAGTCAGATTGGGGATCTTCAAATGTACATAACAAGACCTATTTTATATACACACAGACGCTATTGTCAAAAGATAAAAGTAAAATTCTCAGGAATTGACGCTGAACAGCTCTAAGGTTAGGTAAAGTATAGAATTATTGAGTTTTGTGATTTCACAAATTCTCGGTATTAGAACTAGATCTACGATTAAATTCTTTAGATGACGTCACCTTCAAGCGTTGTATTATTACTGAATAACAAATACCTACTGAACGGGAAACAGATGTACTTATACTTTTCCCTACCTCTTTAGAAATATTATAACAAAAACGATATTTTTAACGATAAATAAAACTGAATCTATTTACACGCATAATTTCAACTAACTTAAAATATATCATTTTTGTTGTGTTCGTCATTGCCGAGGTTAAGTTTGCGTGGAGTATAAAAAATATATATTCACCTGGAAAATTACTTTTTTATATTATAACTTTCGTGAGACATACTAAATCAAATATTATGTTTTTCGGCTTACTCGCGTAATTTTCACGTGTAAGTCATGCAGGCTCATATTCATGAGCAGCATTCCGCGACCCGCGACGCGTCGACTGTCATGCTGCTACCGAGCCTCTAGCATGGCTTAAATCTAGTCGAGTTCCTCATCAAATAATTACGTAAGTAAGCCGAAAAAGATAATAATTAATTTGAAAAATAACTCTTACTAAGGCTTCTATAAAATAAACGATTATTTGTTTCTTCTAAATGATTTCATTGCTTATTAATCCAAAACAATATCGCCACGGCCATCAGAAGGCATATAATGGGCCTAAATCCAGACTTAACTATATCTGTAGCTTTGAATTTCGTTTACGAGAAATCCAATAATGTTTTACGTAATCTCAGAACTAAATCAAGGTTCTCGTATTAAACCAAAGACACAGTTAACGAGATATCATAAATGAATCAGCTTTAATGGGACAACGAGAAGGTACGGGTCGTCTTCAGCCAATGTCATTTGACGCATTTTACGACAGCTTTTGGATTATTTAAAAAATTCTGATAGTCGGAAAATTTTCTTAATATTTTTTTAGCAATTCAATATTGATTTAATAACTACTGTGTTCAATTAATTCTGTAGTGCCTACAAAAGTTATACCAAAAATGAAATCGTTTTCACTGATTTAAAATTGTTGAAGTTAGTTTTAATCAAGGGGCTTAAACACAATTCTAATTGAGGGTCAAAAACAATACAATTATACTATTAAACAATGAAAATAATTTGTTGAATAAAACAATTGTTTTTCGCAATAATTATTTACTTTCTAAACGAGGCTGTTGAGACAAAAATTAATTAATACCCACCACAATTTCTATTTTGTTTAACAATATCAATAGAAGTTTCGTTGAAACTGGCACACCACTCGCAATTTGTGGCAAAATCAGGGAAAAGCCATATTCTTTAAGATAAAAAAAGACACAGATTTTACCACCATAAGACTTCCTAAACAAATTGACGCTGTTACTTTCGTATACTTATCAATTAATATGAAACTTGAAACTAATTAGCCAAACAGACCACACCAAAGCACGTAATAGGTATTCACGAAGAAAACAAGGCTCTATTAGCATTATTTTTCATTAATTAATGCCTACTCAAATATGTCAAAGGACGCACCTATTTATGATCTTGACGAAAAGCCAACTAATACATAAACAAAATGTAGATCAACTTCTTATATTTTTTTCGTAAAAGTTGTATTTTAAATTGGCATCAAAAAATACTGGCCGCTTAGCTATTGTAGCCATCAACAGAACTTTTTGCATGACCCAGCAAGAAAATAAAAAAATCTCTTAGCGGGAGCTCCCGTGATCCCAACTGCTCAAGGAAATAATTAAGTTGAAACTAATTTATTAATAATCCCCTCAACGCTCAGTGAAATATTTCTTAATTAGTTATCCACTTTATCTATTTTCTAGTTAATTAATATAAGCGGTCGGACCTTGCCATTCATTTTTTCCCTTTGTGAACAGTAGGTAACAGTTGTTTACAAAAATGAATTTATAATTTTGTGAACAGTCGTTTCATCGGTATAGGTATCATGATATCTACGAAATCAAAAATAAATTTTGTGTCAGCCATTTGTTATTCAACTTTGTTTTTATGTGTACCTACCTTATTCACAAAGCACCCTTGTTTATGGAATTTTGTACAAATATCAATGGTAAACAGCAATATCATTGACACACTACTTGTACCTTACCATACACTTATGTAGGTAGTTATGTCGTTTTTGTAAATGCAATCTATACCTATGCGAACTATCATGGTAATTTTTGAAACCCAGTTAAAATTGTGGACAGAAATAGATAAGATTTATTTTAAGTGGAAAAACTTAAAATTTTAGCATCTTATAATGTAGAGGTAAACGCGTTTACATTAGAAACAAATAATAAGCAAGCATAGACAAATCGATTTGGAATTAGAAATACTAGGGCTCAGTGCAATGAACGTTCTACTATCTTTATCTACCGTCACACGCGTAATAATAGTGATACATATCAGATACTAGCGACCCGCCCCGCACGGGTGCAATATGCATGTATTATCCATAGAAACCTTCTTTAAGAATCACTCTATCTATTAAAAAAAACCACATCAAAATCCGTTGCGTAGTTGTAAAGATCTAAGCATACATAGGGACAGACAGACGTCGGATAGCAACTTTGCTTTATACTATGTAGTGATGAAGTGATAAATAGATAAGTAAATGTCAATGAAAATGATAATTATATACAGTCATATGAATAAAGTTACATGAAACATCAAAAAATCTTCGTACCATTTTACCTTGTTGCCCTCAAGACGAAGTGTGGTGGTTCCTGGTGGTAACGCTGATGGTGGATTCTCCAGCTGTCTGTTGGCACAGTCAACGGTGATGAGAGGTATCACAGCACCGGCTGTGTCGAAGACCACGTGTGTCATTGTGCAGGAACAGGGCTCTGGACAAGTTTGACGCATCGTCTGTAAATTGTAATTATATTTTAGAACTCCGTTCATCGGCATCGGCAAACGGCTGAACGGCCGATCCCTTCAGCCGTTTTAAAGTGATAGCCTAACAAACATACACACAAACTCAAAACTTTAGCATTTATAATATTGAAATATCATCCCCTAAATTTGTTCATACAAAAGTAGTCTCTAAACATCAGAAATAAGGTCTATAATGTAGTTAGTAGAGAGCGGTCACCGGTGACCACTTGAGGATAAAAATATTTTACACGCGGCCACACATCGATCTATACAAAACCAGTTTATCCTGGTGTCGCGTCGCATCATCTTTCCGCACATTAACGTTCAGTTTATACTGGTTATGTAAAGCTCGATGTGTAGCCGTGTGTTTTTGAGAACGTTAGCATCGGTAATCTTTAACGTACTCTTTTCAATCTTTTTTTTATCACGATATCGTACCCGTTGTCACTTATCTAATACTGTCTGCATTGGTTTAAAATATGGGTTAACCTCACTTATAAGCTAATTACTATCGTTAGACAACTTGTCCAAAGTTAGACAAGGGATTACACTGAATAATTTAGTGTCAAACTTTAAGTTTTGATGGGTACGTGAGGGTGATGACCGCCATTCAAGATCACGACATTTTCGTTTAAATATAAAGTTATTTCGCATTTGTCTCACTAAGGACCGATATTTCAATGCTCATTTAATTTTATCAGAGGAATAATTTCCTCCATACTAATAACTGTCAAATTTCAATTTTATTCTACAGTTAAGAATTAAGTAATGATTGAAAAATCGTCCGATTTTTCAATGCTCAATTATATATCACCAGAGGAATAACTTTGAATATTTGACAATTGGGATGATGACGGGGTACGAAAATTAAAAATCTATTTAGTCCGTAAGTTGGGTAATGAAAAAATATTAGATAAGTATTTTTTTATTTTGTTGTATACTAAAATAGTACCTAGATAAAACGAATCAAAGTGGGGGCTAAAACGTCATTTCTAGACAAACGTCATGTCGTAACGCGACATGTCAAATCAATATATCGTCGAAACTATTTGTTTCTGTAAGAAAATAAAAAATATGTGTCTAGTGTTTTGACTGCCTCGTTGGCCGAGTGGTCGCAAGTGCAACTGCCGGGCAAGGGGTCTCGGGTTCGATTCCCAGGTCGGGCAAAGTATTACTGGGTTTTAAAAATTCTCAGTAGTAGCACGGAGTCTGGAATTGTACCCGGTATATGGCAATAGGCTCACCCCCTATTACATGGGACTCATAACATAAATAGTGGAAAGTGGGTGTTACATTGTACAGTGGCATAATGTGCACCTCTGCCTACCCCTTCGGGGATAAAAGGCGTGATGATATTATGTGTTGTTTTAAAGTCTACCAGACTGACATTAAGATAAAAATTAATGCCTAATTTTTATTTTAATGTCAAAACCTTATTCTTCCATACTAATAAAGCTGTCAAATGTCAATTTTATTCTACAGTTAAGAATTAACTGATGTTCTAAAATCAGCCCTTAGAGTATTTAACCAACTAATGCCGGAATACTGAAACGTTACTCAATTTTAAGTCGTGCTTAAATATCGTGCCATCTCTGTCATTTTACAAAGAATTTGTAGAGACAGAACTATACTTAAGCACGACTTAAAATTGAGTAGCTATTGAGTATTCCGACATAAGTCAAATTGCTCACTATTTCTTATAATTATATTTCCAATTCCCTATTCTCATATATACTAGAGCTAGTTGAATTCCTTCAACATATATGTGGTCAAGGTACCTACTCCGATTCGCATAAAACCTTCCACACATTGTCTATTCATGTTTTCTTTGGTCGTCTTCTTCCTCTCCAACCACATTTAAATTCAGCACGCATTCCTAAAGTTATAATAAAAAAAATATAATTATGTACAAATTTTACTCCATCAACAACCGACTGTTTATGGCGGTGTAACTTAAGTAAAACTTGGGTTAAAAACAAATGAAAGAAAGGCAAGGATTAATTAATTTATATCGAACTTAATAAAACTTTTAAGGGGTAAAAACAATGAGAAGTTTATACAAAAACACAACATTTTTCAGTTAAGAACTGTTTACGTAACACTTTGAATTTCGTCTTTGGAAGAAGAAGGGTTGTGTTTTTTAATGGCCACTTGTCTTTTTTATGTTTTTAATTGTATTCTGTATTCTTCAAACTTTACTTTTTGTTGTTAGAACAAACAGGGCGTATGTTATTTTGTTGTAGGTAACTGAAGGAATATATCGTGAGAAAACCTGGACTTATAATTTCTAAATATTAAGTTTCAAATCGCCAACCCACTTCGCGCAAGGCGTGGTGAAGCTCTTGCACAGAAGATTATCTGTGTAAGAAAGGGCTTTACGCTCAGTAGTGGGCTCCCATAGGCTGTTGATGAGGCTGATGAACTATAACTTTATTAGAAGTAGGTATCAATGATTTTTTCCTCATTGATTAGAGTTTTCAATTACGTTATCTGTTTGTTTAATAATAATAATCGTTTTAAAGATATTTAAACAATTTATATAACTTAATTGGCAAAATTCCGTTTTGTAAAGAATTCAGAACTTTCTGAACAAGTTTCATTCAATTTTTACTCTGAAGTAGAGGAAAACTCATAAATCTTAGAAGAGTTTTAAGCAAGGCAAAAATGTGGCAATTATTTATAAGAAAATTATTTAAATGCTACAGCGATTCGAAAGACCTATGTTTACCAGTGGACGAAAACAAACAGGTAATGATAGTGCTCATTAGCTTGAATTAGCTGTGTTAAACGGATATTTTGTAACTAGCTGATAAGCAAGCCAAACATAACACTTACATACAGTCCGTTTAAGATTAGTACTTGGATAACCTTCCATTGACAAAAAAATACGTTTAATTAAGTATGTACATCAGTGAGAGCCCATATCGTTGACGGAATATTATTGGAGCTATTTCGGATTTTTGACAACTTTTTCGTTGCTATACATATTATATATATATATATATTATAATTATCTATCTATGTATCACGATCACGAATGAGGCCTACCGTTTTTCTGCTCAACAGATGGCGCAAGTGTAATCCACTCGTCATTCGTCCAATAGGGAATTAGCTAGTGTCACACCATTGGACGTTCAATATTTGACAGCTGCTGTGATTGGACAAAAGCCTTTTACGCCATCCGCCTTTCTACATTTGCGCCATCTAGCGGTCAAAAAACGTTAGCCCCCATTGTGTCCGCGATATGTGGCAATAGACTAATCCCCTTTATAACGATTCATGAAAAAAGTGGCTGTTCCACTTTGTTTTTCGTAACTTTGCGTACCTTTCTGGCATTAAAGAATGTAATAAACATTATAGTTAATATTTAATAAGAATTCCCTTGACCTAATAAATCTAAAATTTATTAAACTACATGATAAGTAAGTACTTGGGAAAGACGATCCCAATATTCAAGTTATTTCCCAAGAATACTCCTTGACGCCCACAGCCAACCACAGCTACTATAAAGATATTAATTCATAATACAGAATAAACTATTTAATCGAGTAATAACAAAGTTTAACTACCTCTCCACGAAAATTAAGTCAAGTATTAAATTCTCTTGCACAAGATTCTTAGGCAAATATCCCCCGCCAAGAATGTTGTTTCTACCTCCCCCATAATTTCTTATGCAGATTATTTTAGAGGACAAAAATCTTGGTTATTCTTCGCTCTAGAGAATATTTTCTGAGAATCTTTGCAGCAAAATGTTCATGGTATAATTTTCTAACAATGCAACGGTAAGGTAACAATACAACGTTTCTGGAGAATTCATAATTACCATGGACTAAAAAACTAAAGGTAGTTATAGACTAAGAAGTCTATAACAAGTGTTAGCTGTTAATAGTCTCGTAAACTAGTCTATACTTACAGTATTTTAAAATCTAAAAATACATACATAAACCACTATTATCATTGATACTTTGCCAACAATATTAAGATCAGTGCGGTTTACTTATACTTTCGGAAACCAAATAAGTGCAGACGAAAATAAGATAACCTCGGATTTGTGAGATTAAGAATATAGACATACCTGTATACTATACGTGTTCATATCAATGTGAATCTATATGGAATTACCAAAATTCTAAATCTATTCAACCACGGATAACTATATCTGTTATGTAAGACAGTAGAGTGAGTAGTTGTACCTAAATATCGATGACGAATATAGTTCCTATTTGATGATAATATTTATATGTGTAGCAGTGTATGTAGAAGTATATGATTCGCAAAAATACCGACTTGAATTATTTTCCACAAGTGCATGGCCGATAGCAAATTTTTGATCCTTTTCTTTTTGCCGTTTAAAATTAGCCCTATAACAATGTATTTATAGTCCAATTTCGATTCTATTCACAGGTACCCGCTATAATAATAACGCTAAAGGATAAAGTCAAATTGTTACCTAAACCGCACTGTTCGAAATATTCAAAGTTATTCTCAATGATCTTTAGAAAATGAAGTCCTTAGTTCAAACCGCGAACTTGGGTAAACTATTATACAAACCACTACAAACTATAGGTACCTATATAAGTTCATTCATATCTTTTTATCAGGAGGGTACATAGAAACTATATATAACCTCCTGCTTATATTATTTTAAGAAAAAAAATAAGCTGATTCACGCAGGTAAAACTAGTACTTAATTACTGAGGCTTTAGTACGATTTTGATTTTGCTTTAAATGAGACCGCTTTAGGCGCTCTGATTGGCCGACTCTAATGAACCAACCAGTAAGAGCGCCAAACGCGGTCTCATTTTATTATTTTTAACGTAAAATATACTCATACTTAGCCCTCAGTAGTGTGAATTATAAGATTTAATTTTATCGGGTTTAAAATTCTGCATGGAGTCTTAAATTATGCCCAAGGTTTGGTAATAAGACTCGCCCCTACAAATAAACACTCTCACTCATGAATTTAAAGTATAGTTTTGCTTACTATTATAGGGATTGGTGTAATGATTTTATGTATAGATTGTAACAGATGTGTGATGCGATGAAACATAATTAACTACTTTGAGACAACCTTAATCTAGTTCTCAAATTTCTAGAATCTGAATGAATTATCTTGACTGTGATCTCTTATCGAATTTAGGATGGTAACGGCTTTCATTATCTTATACGGATTTATATCGAATTCATGTGGAAAATCGATACAATTTGATTGATTGAACTAAGTAACCCGTGATCGAGGACCAAATGGGCGGTAATAATAGGTGAAACCCAGTACTTCTCATAATTTTTATGTATAAAATTGTGTGAAAAGAATTTGGGAATGGGCTACAAAAGATCCCTCCCCGGACAGAATGTACCGAAAATACCTCTATATATCAAATGCACTTGTAAATTTTCAATTTTTTAAGAGATGATGTTATATTTATTTAACTAGAGAAATAAACGTTTATCTTATTCTATTCTATTGATTGATTTCACTTAAAATGTATTTTCATTCTCTTTCATATCAGGGTCTGTCTAAGGCATTTGCAAATCTGATACATTACCGATTTGTCTTTTATAGAATAAGAGCTCAACAAGCAGTTCGATCGCTTGATAAATAGTAAGCGGTGACCGCTGCTTAAAAGGCGTTACGTCTTTTAAAAAGTGCAGTACATGCTTTATTTAGGGTTTCAACTTCGTATACATCAATCAAATAAGGTGCGAGCTTGAACACATACCGATTTCAATGAACCAATAAATCAATTCAGTCTCCCATGACCCCATTACAAGAAGGCTTTAACACATCCGTCGATATCCTATACGTACCAATTTATTGAATTCGTAATACCGACAGTTACATTTAAACTCCAATTCAAACGATTCAAGTAATGATAACGATCAAAGACACCCGAAACAAAGAATGCTAATGACTTAAAAATCCCATTACATTGCTGTTTGACTAACAGATTGCTTAAAGATTACCAAGTTTTAGCGGATAATGTAAAGCAAATGTTAAAGAAACTAATCTAATCGGGCTAATAAGATCATAACCAGAGTTATGCTGTAGTCACTAATTCGAGTGTTTGCATCGAGTATTAACTTTATCAAACGATACTAATAAAACTGCAAGGTCAAATGGAAATGTTTGGTCGTTTCCAGAATAATAAAGAAGATGTAATGCTAAATACCTATGTCATTAGTACGATTAGTAAGTCAGACGTTGCCCTTTCGAAAAATGGGAAAAAAATTGGAGATATTACACTGGCTCATGTTTGTTTGTGGTACAATGCTAGTCATGGCTATGAGCCCCTAGTGTGGCTTGAAACCAATCGAGGTACCCCGTCAAACAGTTACACGAGTAAGCCGTACGTAAAACGTAATTAATTTATTGTTTTCCCTTTTTCGGATACAAAACAATACAATATGTAAATACTAAATTATACATACTATGTATAAAATGACTAGCTTCTGCAAGCGGCACTGCCCACGTTCCCGTAAGATAAAAAGTGGCCTATGTGTTATTCCACACCATAATCTACCCATGTTCCAAATTTTATCTCAATCTCTTTAGCTGTTTTGACATGAAAGAGTAACAAACGCACACACATACGTCCTCACCAAAGTTTCGCATTTATATTATTAGCAGGATTATTTATCGACAAATACATGCTTTATTTCTTTTCTTTTTTAAATGTTCAATTTTGTTACAACCAAGGTTCATAAAGTTCTATTTAAAAGTCTTTAATTTTTGTTCACTAAAATAAGAATGTTTATTTCGTTAGCAGTAGTTTCTTTTTTAGTAACTAAAACTCTATTGTTCTCGTTCATTTTTGTATTTATAGTTTTTTTTTTATCACTTAAGTAATTGCATGTTGGTTAACCTATAATTGGCGACTGTATAAGCCTAAATACTTAATGTTACTTTCAAATCACTTAATGATATGTATACAGAAGCTGTTGGTATACCTATTTGAATAAATAAATAAATAAATAACATAAATAATAACAGTTGGTCATAGCACAAAACCTAAAGACTATAGAAGTGTTTCGCCTCATGAAACAATAATTCGACGTCACGACTCTAGGTCAAAAGTTCGGCCATTGTTCTTCACAGACTATAAATAATTGTATTAATTACTACCTTTTTCATCCTACAAATCCTAAACTTTTAATGAAGGGATAACATTTTCAATATCGTTAAAAATCGGTTCCCATTTTTTACGTAAAAACTTTTGATGATGACGCCAATATTTTGTTACATAAGAATAACTCCCACCTATAAAACAATGAGAACAATAGAGAACTTAATAAATCCGAATCGTACTTTATTAAGCTTTATTTCATTTTTGCAAATGTTCTAATAAAATTTTAATACGCCCACGTGTATAATTTAACTAATTGTTGTATTCATTACAATTCATTATTAGGTGGAAATTTACGGTTTAACAAAAATCTCGGTAATAACACGGTGTCTGAAATTGTGCCCGAATTATGCCAACAAGCTACTAACCTTATTCATAGAATTTACGTCACCATTGGTGAAAGGTGGCTTTATAATTAAGCTAGAGCCACTTAAGGCGTTTGCATGTACCACTACCACGAAAATAAGGATAAATTCTCACCCGTATAATATCCATGACTTTGTTCAATGGCTTGCCTCTGTAAAGCTGTTGATGACACACAAGTTCATCATAATCTTTTATTTTCCTCCGGATTGTCCCGTTTTCTGCTTCCATCGCCAGCCAGTCGAGACCACCATCACTGCAGTCCCAACTATTACCTGCACAAGAAAAGGAACTTAAATTAAAACCTGTTTTTTTATGTCAACTCTCAATTGGGTGCCGTGTCGTTCAGCGCAGAATGCTGCCCATGATTATGAGCCCCCAGTGTAGCTAGAAACTAATCGAGTTAACTTAATAAAAGCAAGGTTAAAATAATTAGTTAAAAATATCTGATTTCTTCTTGTTTTATATCTACCTATTTATACTTTAGCAAATAAAAATGTTTTGATTAGTAAAAATTAGAAAAAATCCCGTGGGGGGGAAATCATTTAATGACTCCACCCACCTTGGGTGAGACAAGAGGGAGCGTCAGAGTCTTACTGACTAAAAATCCCCCTGTTCTTACTCCTGCTTCGAACCGAAACGCGATATCCATAGGCCATTTGGAGCTTCACTTTATACAAAAATTATGTTAACAACAATTAACACAACAAAAAAATAATTACGTTCCTTTCGGTGAAGTATTTCGGCACTTACATATTGCAGTGACATTTGACATAACATAACATAACATCACGCCTTTTATCCCCGAAGGGGTAGGCAGAGGTGCACATTATGCCACTGTACAATGTAGCACCCAGTTTTCACTACGTATGTTATGAGTCCCATGTAATAGGGGAGAGCCTTTGCCGTATACCGGGCACAATTCCAGACTCCGTGCTACTACTAAGAATTTTTTTAAATGTATTTATACTTTGCCCGACGCGGGAATCGAACCCGAGACCCCTTGCCCGGCAGTTGCACATGCGACCACTCGGCCAACGAGGCAGTCGTTGGTACATAAAAAAACACTACAAGTGTTTCATGTGTTACATAAATGTGAGACTATACTTTTTTAGCAAATATCATAGTTCAACGTTAGAGTGCGATGTTTTAAGTATTTATTTTGAGTGAGGAGTTTCGGTGGCCGGTCACCGTGGAGTTCGGTTGTCTCGTACTTAGATGAAATAAAAAACCAGTGACTTTGACCCATCGCTTATGGGAATTAACCGTACCGTCGGTGTCTCGCACGATTGGTTTTTGCGCGTGCCATTCTATATAACATCGACCAGCTAGTAGACCCCTTACACTACGGGAGCAAGTACTACGCTCAGTGTCTCGCACGACTGGTTACCACGGTGCATCGGATTCTCCTGCTCACGCGTACCACAAGCAGACGTTAGGTGCTCCCCTCGGGGGTTCGGTGAGTGAGACGGCGACACCTTGTCACAAAACTGACTAAGGCGGGCTTGTTATAGTGAATAAAACCGGCCGAAGAAAGTTTGAAACAACATACAACTGCTGCGACCAACATTTTAATATTAGCATAGTTGCCTGATTCGAGCCAGGGTTCAGGTAGCCGTGGCCGAAATCTAATTACAACAACCGCCACCGAGCAAGTTGCGGCCGAATCTCAAACACCGGTGCGCTACGCGCTACTGACGTCACGCTCGCCTGCTACGGCTAGTGGTGCTACAAGCCTACGAGTTGTCTGTCTACGAACACTGCATCGGCTACGAGTACTGTCCTGTACGTACTACAAAGATTGAAGTGGATTGCTTATCGGTTGCCTTGTGGGCTGAGTGATTGAACTATCATAGACCTTATATATTTATTTCTATATCACCTATAATGGCCGGAGTACAGCATTCACCTCCTAATACGCCTAAATCAAAAGGATCTCTGGGACTGACTCAGACCCAATCCGAACCTGATATTAACTCGGCCGCCAAGATTAGCGATTACGTGAATGTAAACAGGAACAAGCGGCCACGCCAAGGGGACTCCCCACAAGGTGAACTTGAGTTTGGCGAGCTAGAAGCAGACAAGAATAATCAAGATATATCGTGTACCTTGGCTGAACAGACTACCCTGATGGCTTCATTACTGAGGGATATTGCAGAAGTTAAAAGCCAAAATAATCAAATTAAGGCGTCCAATGCTCAAATACGAGAGACTAATGAAGAAATCATGAAATCAATGTCCTTTATGAATTCACAATTTGAAGATATGAAAAAAGAGATCGGGGAATTAAGACAAGATCGCCGGATACAACAAAATTACATTGAGAATCTGGAAAAAAAGATACTAGATCTACAACACAAGTCACGCTCGTCTGCGATTGAAATCCGAAATATCCCACAGGAAAATTCCGAATCCTTTACCAGCCTGATGAAAACTGTGTGTAAGATTGGAAACGTGGTTGGCCTGCCTATCCCGGAATCAGATATTCGTGATATTTATCGGCTTCCTGGCAAATCTATCAGTCCTACCGCTCCGCGCCCGGTTATTGCTGAGTTCACAAAGGTACAAACAAAACAGGAAATTATATCTGCTACTCGATTGTTTAATAAAGGAAAAGGGAAGGAGGAAAAATTGAACACCTCACTCATCGGTATACAAGGTAAACCCCAGCCGTTCTACATCGCCGAGCAACTCCCCGCTACTACTAAAAAGCTGTTTTATCAAGCTCGAGAGTTTGCTAAAAGTAAAGCCTACAAATACTGCTGGATATCAAACGGTAATGTTTTTCTGCGCAAACAAGAAGGAGACAAACAAATTATAATCCATTCCGAAAAATGTCTTCAGGATCTTGGAAACACAAACATTTGACTATTTTTGTTGTCTCTTTCAGTAATGTATAAATTTAAAATAATTATCTTTCTCTACTCTAAACACATAAGAGGTTACCAATCATCACCTCACATTCTTTCAGACATACTCCACAGAAAAACACAAAACTCAAAATACAATATACTTCTTGACTATGACACACACACAACTACATATCTAATCTCCATAGAACAATGCACAATTCATTTAGGCTCCAAACATAACCTAACTAGTCACATACATATGTCTATTCCACTTTTTGGTCATGCTGCTAATTCCAAATGGCTAACATAAATAATATAAATGACGAGCTAGACCAAATAAATTTTGATTCTTTTGTCTGTGGTCCAGAGGAATGTTTAAAATATTTCAATATAGCTAATGGCAATATTACCCTGTTACATATAAACATTCGTAGTGTGAACAAAAACTTTAGCCAGCTCCAAGTGCTACTAAGTTCAACTAAAATTGACTTTGACATTGTCGTCTTAACCGAATGTTGGCTTAGTAAAGCTACTTATCTACCAGTATTGGATGGCTTTGTGTCGCACTCGACAGGTATCAATACAAATCAAAACGATGGCGTCATGATTTATACGAGGCTGAACCTACATAGCTACGTGTGGGAACCGGAATTTAAGGGTGGAAATTGCCTCGTATGTCAAATAGACAAAAACCTTGCCGTGGTCGCTGTGTACCGCTCTCCATCACTAAATTCAAAGGATAGTTTCGACAATTTCATGACTAGCCTAAATAATGTCTATGACGGCCTGTCTTCATGCCCTAATATCGCCATTGTAGGTGACTTAAATATTGATATTGGACCAGAAAACAGGGATGTCCGTTGTTTTGACTACTTAACTCTAAATGCTTCTCACGGCCTCATGCCAACCCATCTTTTTTCCACTAGGTTGGAACATTGTTTAGACCACATACTGCTAAAATCTAAGCTCTCATCAACTACAATTGTGTTGGATTCGTTCATAACAGATCATAAACCCGTTCTACTTAATATTGCAAAAGCCAACCCGCAACGGAAAACCTGTTACTACAGCACTCGTATAAATCACGAAGCTGTTATGTCGGAGTTAAAAGGGGTGGATTTTGCAAGTATATACCAATTAGATGACGCTAATGCATGCATGAACGAATTTATAAATATAATAAAATCAGCCATATCAAAACATTCGCAGTTAATAAAAATTCCAAGAAAAAAAAGGATTATTAAACCATGGATGACACCTGGTTTGCTAAAATGTATACAAAATCGAGACAAAATGCACATGAATTTAAAAAAGACACCAGACAACCTGATTCTGAAAACTACCTACGTTCGGTACCGAAATTTTTGCAATGACTTACTTAAAAAATTAAAAATTGCGTATGAGCAGAGCGAACTAGAAAAAGCTAGTAAGAACCCGAAAAAATTGTGGAAAACAATAAAACAAATAACAAATACATGTAAAACGCATGTCAGTCCTACTGAGCTGTTGGAAATACGTGAAAATCCAAAATCCTCCGTTAACGAAGTATGTCACTTTTTTGGTACAATGGGGAGAAACCTGGCAGCAGATATCATAACACGGAACCTAGGTCGGTCTCATGGCAGTAAGGCTCCCCTTATCGGGAACATCCCTCAATGCTCTACTTTAAATTCTCCTGCCATTCTGGACGTTGACGAGGCTGAGGTGGAATCAATTATCCTTCAATTAAGAAATGACTGTGCTGTAGGTTGGGATGGAATACCATCTTCTATTCTAAAAAGCTGCCGACATGCATTGCTTCAGCCACTAACCTACCTCTGCAACCGTTGCCTACAGACTGGAGTTTTTCCCGATGCCCTGAAAAGGGCAATCGTTCACCCTATCTACAAGGCGGGGAGTAGGAACTGTGTCAATAATTACAGGCCAATATCTGTTCTGCCTGCGCTATCGAAAATTCTTGAAAAGATTCTTAGTAGGTGTTTGCGTGGCTTTCTTAACAAAAACCGGATCATTGCTGACAACCAGTATGGTTTCCAACCTGGGCTGTCAACAGAAGATGCTGTACTGAATCTCACGCAGACAGTTGCTGAGTGTTTGGACCAGGGGAAAAAATGCCTAGGTATTTTCCTAGACCTTTCCAAGGCATTTGACACAGTTTCTATTCCCTTACTTATCTCTAAATTGGAGCTTATCGGTGTACGGGGCGTATTACTACACATTCTTAAAGACTATCTCAGAAATCGTACGCAATGTGTCAAAATTGATACGCACCTTAGCGATGAGGAATCAGTGACATATGGCGTTCCTCAAGGAAGTATCCTGGGCCCAACATTATTCCTTATTTACGTCAACGATCTGTGCAAAATGTGTCTCACAGACTGTAATATATATGCGTATGCAGATGATACTGCTATTCTCGTGCAGGGACTTACGTGGGATATAGTCAGAGCAAAAGCAGAAATGGTTCTGGCTGAGGTAATGGAATGGCTCAACTCAAATCTATTAACACTTAACCTTCAAAAAACCACCTACATTCCCTTTGCTATACGTCGTAACTCCGCACCGCCAAATACTTTTAATCTAACTGCTCACACATGCTCAAACACCTTAAGACCTATATGTACATGCCCGGCGCTCATTAGAACTGACAATGTGAGGTATTTGGGGGTGCAGATAGACAGCGGTTTGAGATGGGACAAACAAATTGATGCCCTCACTTCCAGAACGATGCGCCTGATACATGTCTTCAGGTCTCTCAGACAGTCGGCTAACGCTGAAACTTTGAAACTCGTGTATTACGCTCTGTGTCAATCGGTCATTGGTTATTGTATCTCGGTTTGGGGTGGTGCAGCAAAGGCTATCGTTCTGAAAGTTGAGAGAGCACAGAGAGCGATTCTAAAAGTCATGATGAGCAAACCATATAGATATCCAACTATTGAACTGTACTCTGATTGCAGAGTCCTTTCGGTTCGCCAACTCTTTGTGGTTAAATCGATTCTTAAAAAACATACCAGTCTTCCTAAGTCCGATCCAAACAAACGAACGTGTGTTATACCGGGTACTCAGCACAAAACTTCTTTCGCCAAACGCCAGTTTTATACCCTAAGTGGGCACATCTACAAAAAAGTTCACAAACATCTAAAAATTATAGATTTAAACTCACACACATTAAAACAAACAATAACAGAGTGGCTACTACAGAAAGACTACTCATACACGGAGTCTTTACTTACTTACATCGCCTAAACGTAGAACCGTACACTACAAACACATTCACACATACATCCACACACACTCACCCCTATATTCACATACACAAAACCACAACAAACAGATACCACATCACACCACTACACATCCACTCCACATTCTACTCGTACACTCACAACTATTACTGCTGTCAAGTTTAAACGGTAGATCGACACTGTCCACTGTTGTATAAAAATGGTAAATTTATAAGCTAGACACTGTCTCTTAAAATACAGGATATCCTAGTTTAAGAGGCAGGGTTACTATAATTCTGTACAGAAATCTTTGCAACAAACTGTAATGCCTAGAATTAGTCTACCCACTTGTTATGTCTACTTATGTATGTACATTTCTGTAACTTTTTGCTAAATAAACTTATTATTATTATTATTATTATTTGAAGCAGATGACAAACTTATCTTAAATACTTCAAGAGGTTTCGTCTCGAGAACCGAACTGCAAGTTTACATAAATAAAGGGATCCATTGTTCTATGATTTTTTAAAGTCAAAGTCAAAGCATTTATTTCAATTAAACCATAATTTGGTACTTTTGAAACGTCAACAAATACAAAATAAATTATAGTCTGTCAGTCAGTCCGTCAGTGAAGCTAGGTGAAGCTAGGTGCTCATTCCAAAATGGAGATTCGAATGGAGAAGAACGAGCAAGAAACCCCATTTTATAAGGAAGTTATTTTTTGACGTGAACATCTGTGATTCATGAAGAATTTGGTGTTAACGGAGACTGTTTTAGTAAGATCCAGACTCCAATAGAAATTCGATAGATAATTTTATCGATTTTTTTTTCCAAATATCGACGCTGTATAATGATTTTGATAATTCATATGAATTTTACAAAAACTCTTAACACTTTAGGCTCTGATAGTTAATTAAACTTAGGTATGTCATATGTCGTGATGCCCCGGTGGTTTAAGAAGCCCGCTTCTCATGCATGAGGGCGTGGGTTCGAAACCTACCAACGGCAAGTACCAATGTGACTTTTTCCAAGTTATATGTACTTTCTAAGATTATTATCTAGACAGAGACACTATTGACAAACGGTGAAGGAAAACATCGTAAGGAAACCTGGGCTTATAATTTCTAATTGTAACTTTGTAATCGCTAACCCGCATTGAGCAAACGTGGTAATTAATGCTTAAACCTTCTCCGTGTGAGAAGAGACTTTGCTCAACAGTGGGCATTTATAGGCTGTTGATGATGATGATAATGAGTTAATTAAACTATTGAATAAAAATGTTGCTTTATTTCGTTATAAGTAAATGCTATTAAGTGTTAAGCAGCCACCAAATTAGAAACCAATTTCATTTAAATTTGCTAGGTATACCGAACTGTGTATATTTTAGCTTACGTTAAGTTTAAGCCGACTAGACGGCGCCGCGCCTTAGCGTACTTTCGCACGACATTGAATCATGGTCCCATCGTGCTAAGGACACAGTATTCGTCTGCAATCCATACTATTCGGAGCCTTAGTTAAGTGAAACGTAACATATTACACTGTGACAGAGTCTAAAATGTGCTTTATGTATTTGTATTTGAAGTGTCAAAAAAAAATGAATAAATTATGTGATTCACATCGGTATACGAGTAAAAGTTAAGTACAAAAGGTCAAGTGGTTGTTTCACAAATTATTGTTCCAGGTCTAGACCTATGTTTGTGTTATGTGTGTGTGAAGTTATATATACATATATATATATAGGTTAGTAAACGCATGTACGACTCAGGAGAAAGTTGTAGTGTGGGACAATGTT